AGCCGTGGCTGCTAGGAGATGAAAGTGGTCCAGTCAAAGCAAGGTGGACTGATCAAAAGCAGAGGTCATGCAGCCATGTTTTGGGATGCCCAAGACATTTTGCCTGCTGGCTTTCTGGAGGGCCAAAGAATGATAACATCTGCTTCTTGTGAGAGTGTTTTGAGAAAGCCAAAGCTTCAACAGAAAAGCTCCAGGTAAAGGTTCCCTAGGGAATCCCCACCACTGCGAGCTCCCGCTCATTCCTCTCAGTAAACAAGGGCAGTGTTGGGAGAGTGCTGATGGGGAACCGTAGGGCATCCACCTTACAGTCCTGGTCTTCCCTCCGACTGCTTTTTGTTTCCTGGTCTTTAAAAAAATCACTGAAGGACACACATGTTTCTCTAGTCGATAACGTGAGGAAGACTACTTTGGTATGGTTAAATTCCCAGGACCCTCAGTTCTTTAGAGATGGACTAAATGCTTCAGGATCTCGGTCTGGGTGTGACAGTTTTGGTACCCACCAGGCCCTTAAGATAAGAGGTAGTGGACTTAGTCCAATATCATTGTTTACAAAAATGTCTTGAACTTGATAGGGCTTATGTTAAGAACTGAAGTTTGTTTGTTTAAGATTTTTGCCATAGGGTGTGTACACTTGCCAGAGAGGAGAAAGACAGTGAGACAGAAAGTGAGGAAGCACTCCTGCGGGGAACGGCCATGCTGATCCCTTCTTCATTCCTCTCCTGGGATTTTGGGCATGCCTGCACATGTGCCAGGTGTGATTTTAAGCCACTAGGTCTGGTATTGAAACCACACCATGTGGGAGTCCAGCACTTTAACCACCATGTCACCTGCTGGCCCCCCAGTTTATTGATTTTATTTTTAACCCTTTAATTCCATTTTTTCATGAATTTTGAAGTTTTCTAATATAGTTTGCTTAACAATACTGTCTACCAGTCTATGTCTTTCTTCACCTTTGACATGCCTTTCACAGAATAGGGCATGTGTACTTACTGGAGAGAGACAGGGAGGGGTGGGGAAGTGAGAAAGCACTCCTGGGAGTATGGCCACACCACACTCCCTTCTCTTCCACTGTCCTCTTGGGATTTTGAGCCTGCCCACACATACACCGAGTGTTGAGTGTTTGTGTGTGTGTGTATGTGTGTTTGTGTTAAAGAATTTTTAATTTAATTTAATTATTATTATTATTATTTTCTAATTTGCTACAGGGAAGGTATGCTCACCAGAGAGATATAGAGAGACAGAGACGGAAAAAAACAACCTGCCAGGCCCGGGATTCGGACCAATTGCAGTTGGCCTTGTGAGAGTTCAGTGTCTTAACCATCATTCCACCTGCTGGTCCCATCTCTGGCGTGTTTTTCAAGCCACCAGGTCTGGGGTTTGAACTGCACAGTTGGCCATCTGGAATCCAGCCACCCTTAACCACTATTACACTGGGTGGCTCCAGAGTAGAAGCTTTCTAACTTAATGATGTCTGGATTCTCAGTTCTTTCTTTCATGGATTGTGCAAGTCATCACCAAAACCAAGGTCATCTAGAGTGTCTCCTCTGTACCTTCTAGGAGTTTCATAGTTTTGCATTTACATGGAGGTCTGGGATTTATTTTGAGTTATGATTTGTGAAGGGTGTAAAATATGTATTCATTTGTGTTTTATGTGTGGTTGTCCAATTGTTCTGGCACTGTTCGTTGGAAAGACCATTTTTTCTTCATTGCATTACCTTTGCTCCTTTGTCAAATTTTAGTTGCCAGTATTTCTATGGGTCTGTTTCTGAGCTGTCTGTTCTGTTTGATTGACCTGTTTGTTTATTGTTTCATTGATATCATGCAGTCTTGATTAGCTTTATAGTAAGTCTCGAGTTGGGTTTCAGTACTTCATCCTTGTCCTGCACTATTGTTTTGGCTATGAGGGCCTTTTGTCTCTGTGTATAAACTTAAGGATCAATTTGTTGATCTCTACAGAATAACTTGGGGTTTCCATTGGGATTGCATTGAATCTATAAACCAAGTTGGCAAGAATTGACATTTTAATTAATGTCTTCGTACTTGTAAACACGGAATGTCTCCTTATTTATTTAGTTCTTTGATTTCTTTCATCAAAGTTTTATCGTTCTCTTTGCATAGTTTTTGTATGTATTTTTTAGATTTATTTCTAAGTATTTCATTTTGGAGAATGCTATTTGTTTTAATGGGATCATTCTCATTAGCCGTAGTGTGGTATGTGGTAGTGTGTTTCTTACTGAAATTTTCGTCTGTTCTTTGCTGTAGGTACTATTTTTATAGATATTTTATGGGTGAGAAATTTGAGATTTTGAGAAGTCAGGTGGCTTACTGTGGTTGAACAGCTAGTAAGCACTCTTATGGATTTTGTTTGTCCATCCATCCATTTATTCATCAGTTATATGATGGACATATGGTAGTCTCTGTTCTAGGGCTGGGATGTAGCAAGGAACAGAGAAACAAAAACTCTATGTCCTCAGAAAACTTACATTCTGGCGAGGGATGACAGATAACAAATATTATAAAAGTATGAAATAGAAACTGTATTTTATAATGGTAAGGATGACACAGTGATAAACTTACATTTTAGAAAATGAAAAATAAAGTAGGGAAGAGATAGCATTTGCGCATGTGTAAAGTAAATATTGCAGTCAGAAAGGGCTCATCAGGTACCTAACTGGGAGGCAGTTTTGGGATTTTAACCTATGAGTTGAGATTGAAAGATTAATATAGATAGAAAAGAGATGTCTGAGGTCAGAGCTTAATTCTAAATCAGCTGTTAACAAACTTAAATTCTAATTCTTAACCTGTAGTGTACTGGCTATATGCTGTGCATTGGGAGCCAGATTCCACGTGGCTGGCCATGGTTCAAATCCCAGCTCTGGCAGCTTGAAAAACACTCAGGAGCATGTGTGTGCTTGCCCAAAATCCAGACTGAAAGAGAAGTGGAGGAAAAAGGATTACAGTGTGACCATTCCCAATAGGAGGAAGGGGGTATGTGCTTGCATGTGTGCGTGCTCTCTCTCTCTCTCTGGCAAGCAGATGTGTCTTCTGGCAATTAATTTTTTTTTTTTTAAAGGCAGCTCAATATCTTAAAAAATTAAAAGAGCCTAAGTTCTAAAAATTTAGCACGTGCTCATTAAAAACCTGAGGTATAGAAGTCGCCCTCAAGAAGCTTATGATCTCTTTAGGAAAATGAATTTGTGATTTCTACATGAGTCATGTAGATTTGGGAAGATTATTTGGAATGGAAATGATTGATAAAGGCCTTTTGGAGGAAATGGATCTTGAACTGAATATCAAACAATTGGTATCAGATTGTGGGGGTGAAGTTTGGGAGACCCCTAAGTCTGCCCTCAGGTTTAGTTAATTGGCTAGGACTCACAGAACTTAGCAAGCTTTTGTATTTAGTTACCATTTGTTATAGCAAAAAAATATATGGAAAGATTAAAATTAACAAGGGAAAAGACAGACAGGGCAGAGTCTAGGAGAATTCCAGATTGCAGTTGTCCTTCCCAGTATAATTGAGTGGACAGTACTTTTCCTAGTGATGACATGACAACAATCATGGAGTTGAGAAGCTTGCCCAGCCTTGGTGTCCAGGGTTTTATTATTATTATTATTATTTAGAGGTTTTTTACAGTAGGGCATGTGCACTCACCAGAAAGAGAGAGAGAGACAGAAAGTGAGAAATCACTCCCCAGGGGGAATGGCCACACCACAATCCCTTCTCCATTCTTCTCTTGGGATCTTGGGCATGCACACACGCCCAGCATGAGTTTAAGCCACCGAGCCTGGGACTCAAACTGCGGTCAACTACATGGGGGTCCAACAACATAGCCATTATGCCAACTGCTGGTCCTAGTGTCCAGAGTTTTTATTGGGGTTCAGGTAGACATACTGACCACTTATATAGACTTGGCTGACTGCCCACCTTGCTGACCTTAGCCTCCAACTCCTCCAAAACTAAAACTGTATGGCCCACAGCCCCACCATAAATCACATTTATAGCATGAACTGTTTAGCAACCCAGGGTCCCAGGTAAACAAAGTCACTTAACCAGGCAGGGCATTCCAAAGGCTTTCCTCCCAGGCCAGCTCCTTCTCTGGGGAGGAGCATACCCTAAGTTACCATAGGTCAGCGTGTAGCATGTTTAGAGAGCATTATGACGACTGCAGTATGGCCTTGGACTTGAGAGTATGGACTCTGGGGCCAGACTACCAAGGTTCATAACACAAATGCCACTTGCCAGTTGCGGAACTTACGGCAGTTACATCTTTTGTAAAGGAGGGTAATAATAGTATCTACTTAATAGGCTTGTGGTGAAGATTAAAGAGTTAATAACTAAAGCACTTAGAACACAGATAGTACATCATAACTGCTGTAGGAATCACAAGTTTGTTTATTCATTACTTAATTCATTCAGTGATTTCTTTTTTTTTTTTTAACTTTGCTAGAGAGCGTTTGCACTCCCTGGAGAGGGACAGAGAGAGGGAAAGTGAGGAATCGCCCCCCTAAAGGATGGAAAGAGGTGAGAAAGCAGACACTGTGGGGCATGGTCACACTGCAATCTCTTCTCCTCTACCTCTCCCTTCTTTTGGAATTCCGAGCACACGTACACGTGTGCCTGGCATGTTTCTCAAGCACCCAGTTCAGGACTTGAACTGTGCTGTCGTTCATGTGAGATCCAGCTGCCTTAACTACCACGCCACTGGCTCGGTGATTCTTTTTCGAGGAGCAGTATGTTAGAGACTTGTATTAGGTCCACGTCTTCTGAGCCTCAGATCATTATTTACCTAATGATATCTCTAGAGGGCTCGCGGCTCTTTTATATTAACATGTTGAAAAGTAAGTATTTTTCACCCAGATTATTTCTCCTAAAGGCAGTTCTGTCAAACCAGTTTGGAGATTTAATTTTAAGATAACAGCTATTGGAGAGCAGGCTTAATAAAGAGTAAATTTTAGCAGACTGGCAAATTAATTTTAGCTTTCTTGTATCCATTCAGGTCCGTGTATGATGACCAGCCAAACGCACACAAGAAGTTTATGGAGAAGTTGGATGCATGTATCCGTAATCATGACAAGGAAATTGAAAAGATGTGTAATTTTCATCATCAGGGTTTTGTAGATGCGATTACAGAACTCCTTAAAGTAAGGACCGATGCAGAAAAACTGAAGGTAAGAAATATGTTAAAATCTGGTTTACCTTTCTTCTCCTTATGTTAATCATGTATTAGTTTATAGTACCGATGTACACAGTATTAATTGCGCTATTTTTAAGAAGTGAATTAGTATATGTATTTGGGAATGTTCTTTATGCTCAATTAACACAGTTGTCTTGCTAATGACAAGAGTAATCTCTTTTTTTCTTCTAAAGCAAGCAATGCATTGACTTAACAGAATTTCTTTCCCTTCAGGGAAATGGATTTGAACCATGCATACAATGAAAGTCTATATTTGCAGCTTCAGAATTTATAAAATGAAAACTAGTATAATATTGATAAAAAGCTATCCTCTAAAATCCTCTAAAGCAAATATAAAGATCATGTTCTCAGAATTATTTCACAATATTGAAACTTTTTTTAAGGTTTAACATTAATTTATAATTTTCTTAAAGAAAGTTGGGCTACATTTTTTGTCCTACAGCAAAACATTATTAAATAAGACAGAATATAAACTATTTCATGAAAAGAATTGTCCTATTTATCATTCTTTATTTTTAGAGCACTTAGCAGAAAGAATAACCCTGGTTCACCAAAGGTTATGATTAGAAAACTATTATATAAAGGATATTCAGATAACAAGAGACCAAACACAGCATCAATGAGGTCACTGAGCATCTTTGTTCAGAAATTAATGAGATTTTTAATAAACCAGAATGTGCTTCCTTACTATGATGACCTAATGAGTCACTTAATATGTGGGAAAATTTGAGGTTGAGCTTCGCCTGCACCTGCAGCATTAAAATGTTGCTGTGGATTGAGATCTCCCTGTTTGATGTTAATCAACCACCCAGTGTTTGCATTCAGCAAAGTATGAATGTTTAATTACCATAAAATGCAATCACCATTTCCTACAGACAATGAATGGCACATAGACCTCATTGAAGTTATCAAAAAGGGACCAGTGGTCAATTGGGTCAGTGATTTGAATTGTTTGACAGACTTAGAGAAGCAAGTAAAGTTCAAAAATCCTGAGTAAATTTGAGAAGTTTGCCACAGAATCTGTTAAAAAGAACTGTCATAAGTAATTGAAGTTAACAAAAGCCCTTTTCAATCAAAAGTTCAAGTTCAAGCTGTAGAGTTAATTTGAATTTGCATTTCTTTGTTCTAAGTTTCTCATGAAGCATGATCTGATTACAAGGGTGAGCAGTTACATCAGGGCAGTTTTATGCATATTTGTCTAACTAAGGTGAAATTATTTTTAAGGTGCAAGTTACTGATACCAACCGAAGGTTTCAAGATGCTGGAAAAGAGGTGAGAAAAATGATAACTTTGTGTGTGTACTCAAATGTGGGTGCTAAAACTATTTTGAAATATGAACATTTCTTCCCCTCTAAGGTGATAATTCAAACAGAAGATATTATTCGATGTAGAATTCAGCAGCGAAATATTACAATGGTGGTAGAAAAATTGCAATTATGCCTTCCAGGTGAGTTAAACTTGTCTCGAATGTGTCTGACTCAGTAAAATTATAAGTTACTAATAGCATGTAGTCATTTTTGTTTTATTATGAGAATTACAGATTATTTAGTGGTGGCCTCTCAACAAAGACCACGACTATTTTCGCTGTTCACTCTATTCTCTGAATTTCCGTGGTTTTCTCCTATCAGAAAGCCCTGTGGTGCTATCTGTCCCATCAGCCTCCTAGAACAACCTGCACCTACCCATTTTCTCTCTGTCTAGTTTATACTTTGTCTTTCCTCACTCCCCCCCCCCTTTTCTTTCAATTTACTTTCCCATGGGAGAGTGTCTTTTGATTACATTTTCTCACCTTTCCTATTAGTCAAATTTTTTATCCCTTGTTTTCCAGTATTTCCTGTTTGTCATTTAACAGGTTGATTTTGCTTTGCTCACATTCTCATTTTGCTGATAAGGTAAGAAAACATCAAAGGTGTTAGGTCTTCCTTTTTTTCCTTCTCTCCTGTATTTTGGAAGCTTATGGTCTCTGTTAAAGTTCAGATTTCAAATATTTTTTGCATCAAAATAGCTTTCTACTGTAATTCCATTTTCCACTAACTTTTTGAATTAGGTTTCAGGGCTGAGAAGCCTACTTCCTTCTAGTGATGTTTAATAATACCTTTTTGCCACCATGAAGTAGCCATGAAGACAGCCTTTAGGTTTGAATGCTTTGTTCCTGTCTGGTAATAAGCCTAAAATATTTGATACTGATGGAATAAAAAAGCTTATTCCTCTAGTGGGCTATTGAAATAGAGAAATACAGGGAAGTGGAGGTTTTTGTTGCTGCTGAGATCTTTGCTTTCAAAGCCAAATAATAACTCTGAACTCATGTAAATATTGTTCCTAATGACATCCAGAACTGTCCTTCCCTCCTTCCACCCTTCTAAATAAATACTCATCCACTGATAATTTTTTTTGTACCAGGCATTATGGTAGGTATTAGAACTATGAAGTCTCCTAAAGAAGAATAAGGAAGAGCAAGTCATCAATTGTAGTACAGTGGCCTAACTCCTCCTTGCATTGGAAGAGGTCGGAGAGGATCTGTGAAGTAACAGTGAAAGCATTGCATGTTTTCTCATGTATTAGTTTTTATTGTTTTTGAGGAAAGCCTTATTTTTATATGAACATAACATGAGGTAGATGTGAAATGTACATGAATTGTTGAGATAAAGCAGGAGGCTTCAAAGAAAGTTTATTTGTACCCCAACAGGCTCTATTTCAGGTCATGTTTCATTCATGCTAATGCTTTGGTTGAAAAAAGTGAAAAGTATAATATTATGATATAGAGACTACAGTGGAGACTGGCAAAGGGTACCATGAGGCCACAGAGTTAGGGTAGGTTCACTGTTGCCACCATTGTAGTTTTTTATGGTTTTCAGATGAGTAAATAGTATCTTTTAAAACTTGGAGACACTAGGGAGTAGTCATATAACTAGAACATCTTTTAAAAAAAAGTTGTCTATCTCTTTGGTCTAGGAGACTCTGAGTTGGTTTGATGCCAACCATAATTCGCTTACTTAGTTTATTCTGTGAAATTCTACCAAGGTTCAATGACGGTCTACATAGTTGCACTGAAATATTTTTGGTGACAGTGTGTCATCTTGCTGAAGCTTATGATTTTATTGAATAATTGCATTTCTGGGCCTTCAGTTGGAAGGATGACATAAAGATGCTTTATTATTTTTCTGTCTGTCTTTATTATGATTCATTCCTTGCTGTAAGCTCTTATTTTTCTTTTCTTACTTTCTTTTCATTTTATTGCCAGAGAGATAGGGACGGAAAAGCATCCTCCAATGGGATATGGTTATGTCACAATTCTTTTTCCTCCATTCTTCTTTCCTATCCAGTCGCTGGGCCTGGAATTTAAGCAGTGGTCAGCCGTGTGGGACCCAGCTTCCTTAACCACTGTGCTATAAGGCTGACCTGCTCTAAGTTTTTAGCTTATTTTCCTTTGTGGATTTGGTATAAATTTTTGCATGTAGTGAGGTAAACACAGTTATTTGGTATGTGGAATTGAAATATCAATGAATTTTACTGTTACCCAACTTTCTCAAATAACTAAAGTCCAAACTTGCATTTCTACGTCAGTAAAGAAATATTAGTAATTTCTGAATAAGATAATTGTTAGTAGGTTAATGTCTCAATTAAAGGTCAGCATATACAAGTGCTCCAAATTCCTTATAATAAAATATTAGTATATATTATATAACATTCTCTGTATATGGAAATTGAAGTACTTTCTTAACATTTTATTTGAAAATACCAGCCTAACTTGAGTTAGCAGGGAACCTGGTGGTTCAGGTAAACGGATCCCACATGGCCAACTGTGTAGTTTGAATCTCAGATCTGGCAGCTTAAGAAACTCACCAGGCACGTGTGCCTGCATACCCCAAATCCCAAAACAAGAGAAGGGATTGTGGTACGACCATGCCCCATAGAGAGTGCTTTCTTGCTTTTCCTTTCTCTATCTTTCTCTCTTTCTCTCCAGTGAGTGCATGTGCCCTCTGGCAAGTTAAAAGAAAAGAAAAGAGAAGAAAATACCAGCCTAACTCAAACTGTAGAAAAAAATTAATTTATAATATGTGTTTCTCTGTTTTAATTAGTTTAAGCTCTCAAAATCTTTTCATTTTGAAAATTAAAATGTTATATTTTTTAATACAGTGCTGGAAATGTACAGTAAGTTAAAAGAGCAGATGAGTGCAAAAAGGTGAGTTGACTTCTCCCCTGTTGTCTTATTTTTTTCTATTTCTAAAAGTACAGATAAACTTACTATTTATTATAGTGAATCAAGTGAATGTTGCTTTCTGTCTTATACCAATTGTGAGTTAATTTTTGTAAAAATTGAGTCAGTGTTTAGATTTATTATTATTTTTTTTTGGCATGTGGATGTTTAGTTGTTCTAGCAACATTTATTGTAAAGAATACACTTTGGAGCCAGCAGGAGGCGTGGTGGTTAAGTCGCTGGACTCCCACAGGGCTAGCTATGGTTTAGGTCCCAGATCTGGTGGCTTGCTTTCTTACTCTCTCTCTCTCTCTCTTGCTCTGTCTCTTTCTGGTGAGAAGAATACCAGAAATACCTATACCAAAGTTAAAAATAATAATAATAGTAAAAACTAAAATAAATAATATTAAAAAACAATAAATAAAGGAAAGATTACCCTTTATATTGAATTTTCTTTCTTCTTTTGTCAAAGATCAGTTGACTGTATTTGTGTGGGTATGCTTATGTAATTTCGACCCGTTTTGTCTTTTTTTTTTTTCATCTTTATCATACTGTGTTTATTACTGTAACTTTATATTAAGCCTTAAAGTTGGCAGGATTGTCCCTTGGACTTTTTGATATTGTGTGACTGTTCTTTCTTTGTCTTTTGCCTTTCCATATACACTGTAGTCAGATTATTCATACATTATTCAATGTATTGTGTTTTTAATTTCAAATTGCAATTTTTTTTTTTGGTAGAGGTTTTTTCCTATAGGGCGTGTGCGCTCACCAGAAAGACAGAGACAGAGAGACAGAAAGTGAGAAATCACCCCCCAGGGGGGATGGCCATGCCGCAGTCCATTCTCCTCCATTCTCCTCTCTGGATCTTGGGCACACACGCACATGCGCCTAGTGTGAGTTTAAGTCACTGGGCCCGGGACTTGAACTGTGGTTGACTACATGGGAGTCCAGCGACATAGCCATTACTCTAACTGCTGGTCCAAATTGCAATTGTTCATTACTGTTGGGTCATTAAGAAAATCACAATGTATTTTGTATAGAAGAGCATACGAAAATATGTCATGGGTTTCCTGATGACCTAATAGTTCATAGAAAAGCAATTTGACTTCCACTTTCTAGTCTGATACGGAAAGAACTTGGAAGTCATCACTCCTGCCTTCATAAAAAAATGAAGAAAAGCTAAACAAACTGAAAATCAACAACTTTATTAGTCCTTCAGAGAACCAAGGTCATAAGACCAGTAGTTGTTCTTTAAACTGGAGAGCCAAGCAAAAGCAGAAATCACAGTTTTCTGGGAGCAGAAGCCATTGCTGGAACCTGGTAGGAACACTTAAAGGGTGATGATGTGGGACCAGCAGGTGGCATGGTAGTTAAGGCGCCGGATACTCCCACATGGCTGACCACGCTTCAAATCTCGGACCTGGTGGCTTGGTGTCTCACTTTCTCTCTCTCTTTCACTTTCTCTGTGTGTGTGTGTGTGTGTGTGTGTGTGTGTGTATGTGTGTAAGTGTGTGTCTAGTCAAATTAAAATAAATGAATAAAAAAATAAATAATTATTAAAAAATAGATGATGTGTATTAGCATAACTCTTGGGGAACCAATCTGTGGAAGGCTCCCACATATTTGTGTTTGACCTTCAAAAGCTCCTCCAGATTCTTACAGTAGAGACTAGAGAGAAATCTCAGCAAAGTGAAGAAAAAAGGTAACCAGTTTAAAATAGCTAAAGTGCTTTATTCTTCTTATCAAAAGCATGCTGGCAGAATTTCTATATGAATTCCTTTATTATAATAATATGAGCTATTAAGACTTTTTATATCTTCTTGCTTTGTATCTTCTAGCTCTTGTATCTTGTCTTTCTCAAGGATATTAAGTTTTTAAATTTATTTGCATACAATTATTTATAACATTCTCTAATCATTCTTTTTATATTTTTGGAACCTGTAGTAAGAGCTCTCTTTTTCGTTTCTAGTATTAGTTATTTGTGTCTTCTCTCTTTTTTTGGTCCTTCCTGATTTGTCTAAAAAGAGGTTTATCATTTTTATTGGAATTTTTATAAAGATCTAACCTTTGATTTTATTTTCTGTTTTTTTTATTTTACCATTTTATTTTCTTTTTAAAAATTATTATTTCCATGCTTATACTTGAGATTTAATTTGTTCTTCCTTTTTGAATTTTTGTAAAGTGGGACTTGAGAATACTAATTTTACATCTTTTTCTGAACATTTAAAGATAAAAAATTTACTCTGAGCTTTGATTTGGTTGCTTTTCACAATTTTTGATACATTATATTTTTATTCTTTCAGTTTAAAATATTTTCTAGGTTTTTTTCTGACTGTTTTTTTTCTTTCTTTCTTTTTTTTTTTTTGAGAGAGAGATTTTTGCTATAGATCTGTGTTCGCCAGAAACAGAGAGACAAAAAGTGAAAAATCACCCGCCGGGTGTTGGCGATGCCTCAATCTCTTCTTCCTCCATTGTGCTCTCGGGATCTTGGGCATCACGTACATGTGCCCAGCATGAGTTTCAAGCTGCCAGGTGTGGGACTTGAATTGCGGTCAACTACATGGGAGTCCAGTGACGTAACCCTTATCACATCTGCTGGTCCCTCTGACTTTTTTTTAACTCTTACGTTATTGATAGATGTGTTTGTTTAATTTCCAAATATTTAGGGGACTTTCTAGATATGCTATACTCTCTTTTTTAAATAATTATTTAATTTTATTTATTGCTATTTTAAAATTTACTGTAGATCATACGCATGCATAGAGAGCCAGAGAGAAAGAGAGAGAGAGAAAGAGCGAGAGAGAGGGGAAACATGAGAAAGCAAACCGCCAGGTCCAGACCCTGAACCTCAGTCAGCCGTGCCAGAGTCCAGTACCCTAACCACCACCACCTGCTAGCCCTGATATGTCTTCATCATTGATTTCTAGCTTAATACTGTTGAGCCAGTGACCATACTCTGTAAGATTTCAATCCTTTGACATTTACTGGGACTCGTTTAGTAGCCCAGCACAAAATCTATTCATGTGCCTTGAAGAGACTGTATATTCTGCAATTGTGGCTTTAGTGTTCCAAAATATCAATAGGTCATGTTGGTTGTTAATATATTCGAATTTTCTATATGCTTAGTGATTTTTGTTTGCTATTTCTACCAATTATAAAGGAGTTTTTTTTTTTTTTTTTTTGAGAGATTTTTGCTATAGGGTGCGTGTGCTCGCCAGACAGAGACAGAGAGACAGAAAGCGAGAAATCACCCCCGAGGGGGGATGGCCACGCTGCAATCCCTTCTCCGTTCTCCTCTCGGGATCTTAGGCAGACATGCACACACACCCGGTGTGAGTTTAAGCCACCGGGTCTGGGACTTGAACTGCGTTTGACTTCATGGGAGTCTAGCGACATAGCCATTACGCTAACTGCTGGTCCCAGGAGTGTTATGTTTTTTAACTATGTGATTTTATCTCTTTTCTCTTTAATTCTTTCAGTTTTACTCTATATATTTCGAAGGGTTGTTAGTAGATGCATACACATTTGTGATTTTTTTTTGTTTGTTTTTTAACTAAGAAAAGAAAACTAGAGAAGGACTGAGACTTACTGTCTTTTCAGCCTACTTATATATTGCTTTTCTTATTCATGAATAGCACCTTCCCCCACCCCCCTTTTTTTTTGAGAGAGATTTTTGCTATGGGCTCATGTACTTGCTGGAAAGACAGAGGGACAGAAAGTGGGAAATCACCTCTCCCTACCCAGGGGAGATGACCACACTGTAATTCCTTCTCCATTCTCCTCTCAGGATTTTGGGCATGCATGCACACATGCCTAGTGTGAGTTTTAAGCTGCTGGTCCCACCTTTCCCCATCTTTAACATCGTCCAATTCAGTAGGAAGGTACAGAATACTATTTAGTTAATTTCTAAAATTCCTCTATCTACTCTCAATTGGATTTTGATGGTGAAGATTATTGCTGGAAGTTTTGGAAAGTCTGAGTCCCAATTCCAATTACTTATGATATCTTGGCTAAATTTTGTCTTCTTTCTGTTTTCCTTTTTTCAACTATAGAATGTTAATAGTAATATCTGCCATAGAAGTGTAACTTCATAGATGTTTCATAAAGTTTACATTTTATATATGGAAGTCTATGTCAATTTTTATGGGACATAGACTGTACTTTACTAATTGCTGCATAGCAGTGTGCCTATTTAGAAATAGGCATTTAGTAAATATTTGTTGCATTGAAAAATTACTCAACCAGCAAATTTTCACCTGTTTTTTGTGACAATAGTATTTCTAATTGTCTTTAAAAGTAGTGTAAATTTTCCAAAAAAAAGTTAAGTAAATTTACTTTAGTTAGAATTAATCTTTGTAAATAGATGTCAGAATGGAAAGTATGAAATTACATACCAAATGACTAAGTGTTATAATTCAGAAATTTGAATATATGCATTTAAGGTATTGTGATGACTGGGATACTGCTCTTAATGCCATAGGTTTAGACGAAGTGAAATGAAGACGTTTTTCATTAGTGTAACTAGATTTTTAGTTGTTCATATGACTTATAGTTTGTGCTTAGTAAATAAATAGAAATAAATGTTAAATATACTTATTTTATCCATGACTGTCTTTTTCAACAAGACTGTTAGACTAATTATTTGGACTTAGGTATAAAATTAATGTGACTGAACTTTTTATAGAGTTTCCTTTTTAACTCTCTACAGGTATTATTCTGCCCTTAAAACCATGGAACAATTAGAGAATGTGTATTTTCCCCGGGTTAGTCAGTACCGATTTTGTCAGCTAATGATAGAAAATCTTCCTAAACTCCGTGAGGATATTAAAGAAATCTCCATGTCTGATCTCAAAGACTTTTTAGAAAGCATTCGAAAACATTCTGACAAAATAGGAGAAACTGCAATGAAACAGGTAAGAGTATAAAGGAGAATTTTAATAAATTATATTGATAATTTGGGTTTACTTCAAGTTACATTACATGTTTTTTTTTGTTTAGTTTTACCTTTTATCCAATCTTTCCTGTTTTTAAAATTTTTTTAAATGTTTAATTATTTATTTATTTATTTATTTATGTAGAATGGATTTCATCAGGGATCATTGGTGAAATGTTCCATAAATGTCTGCCAGGCCCCTTAGCTTGTGGTATCATTTCTCTCCGTGTCTCTCTGTTTATGTTTTGTCTAGATGACCTGACCAGTGGTGACAGTGGGCTGTTGAAGCCCCCAACAATTAGTGTGTTGCAATTTCTTTAGATCTAGCAGTCTTCCTTTTATGTATTTGAGTGTCTTCCTGCTGGTTGCATATTTATTATTGATATATCTCCTTGGTGAATCAGTCTCTTTAATACTATATAGTTTCCTGGACCAGCAGATTGTGAAATGTTTATGTTGCTAGACTCTCATGTAGTTGACCGCGGTTCGAATCCTGGACCTGATGGCATAAAACTCACACTGGGTACGTGTGTGTGTGTACCCAATATCCTGAGAAGACAATGGAAGAGAAGAGATTGTGGCATGGCCATCCCCCTGGGATGTGATTTCTCGCTTTCTGTCTCTGTCTGTATCTTCTGGCGAGTGCACATGCTCTATAGTAAAAATCCCTCTAAGAAAACTCCAAAAACTATGTAGTGTCCTTCTTTGTCTCTTTTTACAGCTTTTGTCATGAAGTTAGTTTTGGACTCTCTCCACTTAGGTAGTCTATCAAATTATTGATGCTAGAATTTGAGGCTCATAACAATTTCTTTCTGGGAAGGAATAGATTCTCCTGGTCCACCATTATCTTTTGTTATAAAAGTAATTGGGACCAGCAGGTGGCGTGGTGGTTAAGGCGCTGGACACTCCCACATGGCCGACTGGGGTTCGAGTCCTGGACCTGGTGGCTTGCTTTCTCACTTCCTCTCTCTCTCACTCTCACCCTCTGTCTCTCTCTGGTCAAATTAAAAATCAATGAATGAATAAATAAATAATAAAATAAATAGTTATTTAAAAGAAAAAAAGGAATCAACCTCCTTACCTCTGCAGTTTAAACATAGACCTTTCATCCAGGAACCTTTTCTAATCATCTTTCTATAGGGATTTATTTTCTTTACATTTCTTCTTTAGGAACTATCTTCCACAGAATTGAGAGGTTAGAACATTTTCTTGGAGCTAGAGTCCTCAAGATTTGATAAGAAAAGTTATGTTTTTTTCTGTTAGTATTCATTCAGACTCCCTTTCAATTTCTGTGTTTGTTGAGTATTAGAAGATGGTATTTATTTATTTCCCCTTAAGACAGGGCCTTGGCCTTGCCATGTTGTGATCCTCTTGCTCTAGCTTACTCATCACTGGGATTACAAATGCATGCCACTGTGCCCAGTTTTTAGGTAGGACTGGGTGCTAAACCTGGGCTTCCCATGTGGTCCTAACCTGCAGAGCACAGCATATTAACAGTGTCTACTGCTGCTGGTTGACCTTTTTTTTGGTTAAATTTTAAATTCTAATATGAGAAATGAATCCACTATGAATTCTATGATGTTTAATTAGAAATGAATAAAATTCATGCTTTAAATTAACATTTTCACATGATACTTTCTCGCTCATACATTTTAATAGTGTCCTCTAGGGGAAAGGAAACTAAATGGTCAAATGTGTTTTTGAAAATTCATGTTAAATAAAATTAAGCAGATTTCTTATGCATTATAGATATCGTGAAAGTGAGATATATATAATATTTACGTATCTCATTTGAGCATAGAACTCTGTTTTCATATAATATCTATTGGTTCTCTGAAATATTAGTTTTGCACTGAACAGTTCGGGAAGTAATGTCTATAGTGTTTTATGCTCTGAGGACAGGAACTCACTGACAAAGTTAGGGATAGACGGAATGAGGGAATTCTGTTGGGTATTTTGTTTGCTTCAGTGAGTAGGGCGCTGGTGACAACAGAGAGGAGACAGTGATTTTCTCAAGTTCAGGTCTCTGCAGCACAGCCGGGATCAAGGGCAAGGCGAGGGGACAGCTAGATTTCTGGGACTTGTGTGGTCTGATTATCCGAAAGTAGAGAAGGTCTGATTAGCAATCATGTATGCCTTGGAGAGCGTTTACCTAACAGAGTCAGCTCAGAGATGTAAATGGAAATGGCAGATATTTGGGATAAAATTACGTATATATTGTATAAAACAAAAACATCTACGTATAGAATTCCAATGCAAGGTAACAACAGTATGTTAAGTTGGGAGGGGAACTGGTATGAGTTTTAAAACTCTGTTCCCTGTGGGGGTGTTTTCTCAGTTTGTCTCTCTCTCTCTTTCTCACTCTCTCTGTCTGATAAGCACATGTGCCCTGGCAGACTTTAACAAAAAGCAAAACTGACATTTATTGAGCTTTAAAAAAGAAAATACCCAGAGGATAGGAAAGCAGTCAGAAAGACACTTGCACATCCATGTTTATCACTGCATTATTCACGATTGCTAAGACATGGGATCAGCCTAAGTATCCACAAATTGATAATGGGGTTGGAAAACTGTGGCATGTGTGTACTGTGGAATGTTACTCTGCTGTAAGAAACAGTGAGGCTCTATCATTTGATTCTAAGTGGATGACTATAGAAGACTTAATGTTGGGGCCGGCAGAGGGTGTGGTGGTTGGGATACTGGACTCCCACATGACCGACTATGGTTTGAGTCCTGGACCTGGAGCTTCTTGCTTTCTCTCTGTCTGTCTCTCTCTGGTGAGCCCATATGCCCTGTAGCAAACTAAAAATTAATAATAAATAAATGATTCTTAAAAAAAAAAGACAACTTAATGTTGAGCAAAGTGAGCCAGACAGTGTGTATATTCCCACAGATATGTGCAGATATTCATGCACTCTGGCAGGAATGGAAAGATCTGAAGATATGCTAGTAGACAGTGTAAGTGTAGATACCAGAGGCTGAGGGAGGGGAGTGGGTGGTAGATTGAAGGTGGTGGAGGGCGGGTGTGAGGGACAAAGGAAAGAAACATATAAAAGGCAAAAAGGTGTAAAGTTCCCTGTTGAGAAAGATACATATCGTATAATCATGATGTGAACTTTATGTAAAATGTGAAAGTAATCTAAAAATTTTTAAAAGAGAAAGGACATAAAGGGAAATTTTTTAAAAAGTATTTTGAACTAAAGCATAATGTAAATATGGCATATCAAAAATTGTGTTTAAGAAACACAAAGGATGCTTCAAAGATTGTGTTTAAAGAAAAAAATAAAGCCTTAAATTTATAAATTAGGAAAGAAAGGGTGAAATCAGTGATCAGAGACATCATTTCAAGAAGTTAGGGGACCAGCTATTAGCGTAATGACTATGTCGCTGGACTCCCATGTAGTCAACCGTGGTTTGCAGCCTGGACCCAGTAGCTTAAAACTCACGCTGGGCACATGTGCGTGCGTGCCCAAGATCCCTAGAGGAGAACGGAGGAGAAGGGATTGCTGCGTGGCCATCCCCCCTGGGGGGTGATTTCTCACTTTCTGTCTCTCTGTCTCTGTCTGGCGAGCGCATGCACCCTATAGCAAAAACCTATCCAAAAAAAAAAAAAGAAGTTAGGGAAACAACAGAAAACTAAGTCCTAGGAAAGTAGAAGTAAGGGAATAATCAAGATAAGAACAGAAGTCGGTTTAATAGAAAACAAGGTATGACAGAGAAGATGAATGAAATCAAATGTCGATTCTTGGTCTTTTCAAATAAAGTTGATAAGCCCCTGCAAGACTGTTTAAAAAGAAAGAGAGCCAACTGGTGGCATGATGGTTAAGGTGGCTGGATCCCACATGGCCAACTGTGTGGTTCAAGTCCCAGACCCTGCAGTTTGAAAAACATGCTGGGTCCATGTATCCAAAATCCCGAAAACAGAGAATTACGGGAAGGGATTACAGTGTGAATATCCCCCAGGGGGGTACTTTTTCTATTCTTTTTTTTTTTTTTTGAGAAATATTTGCTATAGGGTGTGTGTGTATTTACCAGAAAGAAAGAGACAGAGAGACAGAAAGAGAGAAATCACCCCCCAGGGGGATAACCATACTGCAATCCCTTCTCCTCCGTTCTCCTCTAGGGATCTTGGGCACGCACGCACATGTGCCCAGCGTGAGTTTTAAGCCACTGGGTCCAGGTCTTGAACCATGGTCGACTGCATGGGAGTCCAGAGACATAGCCATTACGTCAACTGCGGGTCCCAAGGGGGATACTTTTTCATTCCTCCTGTCTTCCCCAGTCTCTCCCTGGTGAGTACACATGTCCTCAGCAAATTGAAAGGAAGTGAGAAGGCATAAATCATGAATATGAAAAAGGGCATCACTACAGATCCTATACCTACAGACATTATAAGGAGGAAATGCTAGGAGCAATTTTTTTGAACCAGTTTTGAAATAATCTGAATTTTTCTTTTTCCAAAATAGGCACAGCAGCAGAAAATCTTCAGTGTTACTCTGCAGAAGCAAAATAATGTGAAATTTGGGAAGAATATGTATATAAATCATGATAGAAATCCAGAAGAAAGGAATGAAACTGTATCAAAGCATGCACTTGAGGAAGAGGATGAGAACGAAGAGGAGGTGAAGAGTTTCTTTCTTGGCGATCGGGTTTCCTTCTTTATTAATAGATCTGGTTTTTGTAATGGATTGTAATGTGCATCTGCGTGACTCTTAAGGTTTCCATGTACAAATTGAATTTATAGCACTCAAATTATAATGAACTATTAGGGCAATGGAGTCCATATGAAATATTAAACTACATAATTGACAGATAAACAGGATATTTTGTAGATTAATTCCTATTTTATAGATAGTGGAACATAAATATTCTGTCGTAATTAGAGTATTTGGCACTGAAAGTGTAAGTCTAGTGATTTTTGCAGTGACCACTCATAGTCGAGTAATCACTGGCAGAATTTTTATTTCATAATATCTTGACTGAAGTTTTTTTACTATTATTTTTTAAGTCCTGTTGGGGTCAACAGGTAGTATGGTGGTTAAGGCAATGGAATCCCACATTTAAGTCTCAAATCTGGTAGCTAGGTTTCTTACTTTTCCTCTTTCTCTCTCTATGTCTGGTATACGCACATGCCCTGCGGTGGATTGAAAAAAAATAATAATAATACATAAAATTAAATACAGAATTCTTTTTTAAAAGTCTTGTTAAATCTAGAAACCTTGAATTTATCTTTAAATATTTACTTTCTTTCATATCTTCTACCTGAATTATTTCATTTGTTCTTTTGCTTTTTGTATTCTCCACAAAAACTTTTGAGCCTACACTTTATCTTTTCCCTTGAATTACTATTGAATTTTGTTAATATCAGAGAGCCTTATTAGTCTCAATTATTTATAAATTTTCCTTGTTAAGACTGGAAGTTGGTGTAAAGGTTATATTGCTGGACTCCCACATAGTCAACTGTGGTTCAAATCCTGGACCCAGTGGCTTAAAACTCACATTGAGCACATGTGCATGCATGCCTGTCCAAAATCCGGAGAGGAGACTGGAGGAGAAGGGATTACAGTGTGGCCATCCGCCCAGGGGGTCATTTCTCGCTTTCTCTTTCTCTCTCTGGTGATCTCATGCATCCTATAGCAAAAATCTCTCTTTAAGAATTAATTTTTTCCTGGTCAATAAGATTTAAATTTTTTTTTCTTAAGGATTTAATTGGGGCACAGTCAAAAATATTTTTTTTAAAAGATTTTTGCCATCGGACACGTGTGCTCAGCCAAGAGAGACAGACAGTTACTCCTGGGGGGATGGCCACTCTGTAATCCCTTCTCCTCTGTTCTCTTCCTGGAATTTAGGACATAGCCACATGTGCCTAGCATGATTTTCAAGCCATTGTGTCCCGGAATGGAACTATGGCCAGCCATATGGGTGTCCAGCACCTTAACCACACATCACCTGCTGGCCCCCCAGTAAAAACTTTTAATGGAACCCTATGACTGTGGCCCTTGATCACCCTTGTGGATGGGGGAACGACTAAGTATTCACCATGTACATTTTTACTGTATGTCTAGGATGAAACTATGTAACATATATGTGTGTTTATGCGTATGTATATGTATGATATATCGAGTTGTTGCAAAAATCTTGATGAAACATAGAAGGGACTAGCAGATGGTGTAATGGTTATGTTGCTGGACTCCCACATAGCTGACGACTGTTTGAGTCCTGGACTCGGGGGCTTGAAACTCATGCGGGGTGTGTGTGCGTGTGTGCGTGTGTGCGTGTGTGCGTGTGTGCCCAAAATCCCAAGAGGGGAATGGAGGAGAAGGGTTTGCGGCATGGCCATTCCCCCGGGGGGGGAGTTGTGACTTTCTGTCTCTCTTGATGAGCAGATGTACCTTATAGCAAAAATCTTTGAAAAAAAAAAAAAAAAAAAAAGAAAGACAAAAAAAGAGAAACAGAAAAAATATGTCACAACTTTTCTGACAACCCAATATATACAGGTTCAGTGGATTAATGCACTAAATACAGACAAAATAACTACCTTTGGTCATTAAATGTATTCCTAATGAGGAATTAGTGTTGCCTGATTAGTTCCTTTAAATGTATTATTTTTGAGAGGTTTTTGCTATAGGATGCATGCGCTTGCCAGAAAAACAGAGGGACAGAGAAACAGAAAGCGAGAAATCACCCCCCATGGGGATGGCCACGTTGCAATCCCTCCTGCTCCATTCTCCTCTCGGGATCTTGGGCACACACGCACATGCGCCTGGCATGAGTTTAAGCCACTGGGTCTGGGACTTGAACTGCAGTCGGCTACATGGGGGTTCAGTGACATAGCCATTAGCCAATTGCTGGTCCCAAATTAAATGTATTTTTGAAAACTATTTTAAAAAAATATTTATAGAATCTGTGTATTCTCTTCTCCCTTAAAGTTCAGGATGGTGAAAATAGATCATCTGATCTTCTTCAATTTTCTCTACTTTGTTTTATTTAATTATTTAATTGAATGTATTATTATTATCACTGTTTTTTAATTTACCAGAGAAAGACAGAAGGGAAGTGAGAAAGCAAACTGCCTGGTCTAGGACTTGAACTGCAGTCAGCCATGTGAAAGTCCAGCACCCCAACCACCATGTAACCCGTTGGCCCCTCTCCACTTTGTTTTGCATGTCTTTTTTTTTTTTTTTTCTTAAGAGAGATCTTTGCTATAGGGCACATGTACTCACCAGAGAGACAGAGAGAAACAGAGAAAATGAGAAATTACCCCTACAGAGACAGGGACAGGGATGACCACTCTGCCACCTCTTCTCCTTCGTTCTCTTGGGATTTTGGGCACACACGCAGATGCACCTAGTATGAGGTTTAAGCTGCTGGGTCTGGGACTCAAATAGCAGTTGATTACGTGGGAGTCCAGGAACATAACCATTATGCCATCTGCTGGTCCCTGTTTTGCATATCTTTACCTGCTGGCAACATGGTCACCACACCTTATCCCCAAATCCATACTCTAAGAGTAAATGGATTGTTTCCTTAGTCTCTTGAATTTATTTTACTATTCACACATTTTGTTATCATTTCCCTAGTAAATAATATTATAATAAAAATAACTTAAGTTCACTGTGGGGATTCACGAGAGTAGAAATGCATTATTTTAAAAAGGGTTTATATGTTTCTGGGGGTCAGTGAAGGATTGCTATCGACTGGGCATACTCCAAGGCCATCGTGGCCAAGGCAGATTTGGTGGATGATTTCGAGAAGAAGTTTAATGCCCTGAAGGTTCCTGGGCTGGAGGGTAAATACACTGTCTAGGCGGACACCGGAATAAAGGAAGACGTGAGAAGTGCTGAGTTTGTGTCACTCTCAAAGGCCAGGATTGAAGACGATCCGAAACAGCTGGAGAAGATGAAGAACATAATTCCATTTGATCAGATGACCATTGAAGACCTGATTGAAGTCTTTCCAGAAACTGCATTAGACAAGGAGTACCCCTGTTGGCCTCACCAGCCAGTTGAGAACGTATACAATTTTTGTGTCTGGAAGGAAGCTCTGGCCCTTGTCTTACAAACTCTGGACATTAAAAATAAAAGTAATGGCACATGAAAAAAAAGAAAGGGTTTATGTATCTCTCAAGTTTGTTAAACTTGATACTATATTTCATTACCTCTGAGGTGTTATATTTTTGTATTACAACATTTCAGAATTCAAGATTCATCTTAAAATCGATGGTGCTGTAGTTGCAAGTGGTTGTGTTCTTTTCTTTCTTAGTGATCTATAAAATCATAACGATAGTGTCTTTGATTTGGCGCAGTAATAAATCACATGACTTAGCTGCTTAAGAAAAGAAATTTTGTTATAGCTGACTCATAAATCCATGAACCCTTTTTACCTACAGCAGTAACGAAGTATCTAGTTATGCGTAATCATTTTCTGGTGATCTCCCGAGCATGTTAAATTTATATACTCTCTCCACTCTGTTATCTTACCATCTAAAATACCAACAGTAATATGCAAGAAATAATAAACTGAGTAAATGTCAAAATTAAAAAAGGCATTGTGTTTACGTCGTATGCTTTCTATGAGAGAATTTAGTGAGTGTTGTAATACAAAGCTGGTGAATCTTATCTTCAACTTTATAGTTTACTTATAATTAATTTTTTTTTTTCAGATCTTAACTGTTCAGGATCTTGTTGACTTTTCCCCTGTTTATCGATGTTTGCACATTTATTCTGTTTTGGTAAGTGTATTTTATATTTGTGCATACATATTTATGTGATTAAAAAGGCATGTATATATTTTGTGCCTTAAAGATTGTTCATAAGCTCAGATAAATCTTCATCTGATGAATATTTGTGAAATACCCACTGTGTGTAAGGTGCTTTAAAAAATTTAGTCTAATTTCAAGCGAAGTACTACTCCATGTATCTTTTAAGAAACTTAAAATTGCATATATACTTTTTTTTTTTTTTTTTTTTTAAGATTTTTGCCATAGGATGTGTGCATTTGCTGGGAAGAGTAGAAGTGAGAAGCCATGCCTCAGGAGGAATGGCCATGCTGGAATCCCTTCTCCTCCCTTCTCCTCTCAGGATCTTGGGCTTGGTGCGCACAGGCACCCAGCATGATTTTCAGGTTGCCTAGTCCAGAGCTCGAACCTTTACCACTGCGCCACCTGCTGGTCCCCAAATACTATACTTCTACTTTCCCCTTTTGCCTTTGTCCTTGCATCGTGTTATTTATAAATATGTTTACTCCACACTACAGTGTTCTTATTTTTCACTGACTAGTTATCCTTTTTTAAATAACTGCTTTATTATATAACTCACATGCCCTTTTAGGGACCAGCAGATAGTATAAAGGTTATGTTGCTGGACTCCCACATAGTCGACTGTGGTTCAAGTCCTGAACCTGGCAGTGTAAAACTCATGCCAGGTGCGTGTGCATGTGTGCCCAAGATCCCGAGAGGAGAATGGAGAAGGGACTGTGGCATGACCATCCCTCCTGGAGGGTGATTTCTTGCTTTCTGTCTCTCTGTCTCTCTGGTGAATGCACGTTCCCTATAGCAAAAATCCCTCTTAAAAACAAATTGCCCTTTTAAAGTATACAGTTCAGTGGTTTTAGTGTATATACAGGGATTTGCAGCCATTACCCCTACCTATAATAACTCCATAATGCTTCATCACCCCCAAAGTAAAAACCCTGTTTGATTAGTGAGCACTCTAATTTTCCCCTCCTCACAGCCCTCGGCAAGCACAAATGTACTTTCTGTCTTTTGGTAATTTCATAAAAATAGAATCGTATTTGGCTTTTCTGTGTCTTGCAGCTTTTACATAGGTGAAAGTTTGTGTTATTAATTGAGAGCTTCATTCTATTTTTCAAAATTTTGTCAAAAGGTGTGTGCACTCACCAGAGAGAAAGAGAAATAGGGAAAGTGAGAAAATACCCATCACGGACATGGCTACCCTGCAGGCCCCTCCCCTCCATTTCTCCATCCTTCTGGGATTTGGGGCCTACACGCACACGCGCTTGGTATATTTCTCAAGCTGCCAGATCTGGGACTTGAACTGTGCAGTCATCCTTGTGGAATCCAGCTGCTTTAACCAGAAGGCTATAAGCTGGCCCTCTTTTTTAAATATAGACATTTATAGTTATAAATTTCTTTCTAGCACTGCTTAAGCTGTGTTTTGGTATGTTGTTTTTTTTATCTCAAGTATTTTCTAATTACTGCCATTTTTTTCCATTTAACTTACTGGTTAAATTGTTTCCATTCATCTCAAGAATTTTCTAATTTTTTTTTAACTTATTGGTTATTTGGTGTTACTTTAAAATTTTCTGCGAGTGTGTAATCTTCTTTAAAATCTATTGAGGCTTGTTTGATGGCCTATTGCAGGGTCTATTCTGGAATGTGGCTCCTTGAGAAGAATGTGTATCTGGTGGCTGTCGGGTGGTGGTAGACGTTCAAGTCTTCTCTTTCCTTGTCCATCTACTGCTTCTTTTATCTGTTACTGAAAGTGGAAGTATTAATCTCTCTAATCACAACTTGAATTCTGCTTCTTCCTTTAGTTCTGCAAGCTTTGGCTTCATGTATTTTGGGGACCTCTTAGGTAGATGAATATACCTTTATAATTGCTATGTCTTTCTGATGGATTGACTCCCCCCCTTTTATTAATCATAAAGTGTCCCTTGTAATTTTTTGGCTTAAAGTCTGTTTTGGCTGATACTAGTGTAGTCACTCTAGCACTCTTTGAGTGCTGTTAAGAGAGTGATTTTTTTTTTTAAGAGAGATTTTTGCTATAGAGTGCGTGTGGCTGCTGGAGAGACAGAGAGACAGAAAGTGAGAAATCACCCGCCCCCGGGGGGCTGAGCATGCCACGATCCCTTCTCCATTCTCCTCTTGGCATCTTGGGCATGCACGCACATGCATCTGGTGTGAGTTTCAAGCCACCGGGTTCAGGAATCGAACCGTGGTCAGCTACGTCTGAGTCCAGCGACATAACCATTACGCCATCCACTGGTCCCCAGAGTGTATTTTTTCCTTCCTTTTACCTTCAACCTCTTTGTGTCTTTGCATCTAAAGTGTATCTCTTATAGCTAGCATATTGTTGAATCTCTTAAAAAATCCAGTGAGCTAATTTCTACCTTTCAAACGAAATGCTCAATTAGTTTACATTTAATGTAATTACTTGTAAGGTAGAACTTATGTCTGCTCTTTATCTTTTAATATGTCTTATGTCTTTTTATACCTCTGTTCTTCTATTACTGCCTTCTTTTATATTAAGCAAACATTTTTTCATGTACCACTTTAATGCTCTTATTTCTAGCTATCAATTTATTTACTTTATTTTCATTTATTTACTTTTTAGTATTCGCTCTGGGAATTGCAAATAATTTTATACCTTAAAACAATTTGATGCTGTGGGACCAGCAGGTGGTGTGGTGGTTAAGGGCGCTGGATTCCCACGTGGCTGACCATGGTTCGAGTCTTGAAACTGGCATCTTGGTTTCTCACTTTCTCTCTTTTGCTCTCACTCTTACTCTGTCCCTCTCTGGCCAAATTAAAATAAGTAAATAAATAAATAAATTTAAATAAAATAATTCTTTAAAAAATCTGGTGCCAATTAATACCCTCTCCTTTGTGTTATTGTTTTCATACAAATTAAATTTTTGTACATTATAAGTCCATTGCTACAGCTTCATAATTATAATTTTATACAGTTGACTTTTAAATTAGATAAAAGAAAAACATTACAAATAAAATACATTTATATTGTCTTTATATTTACTTCAGTATTTACCTTTACTGGTACTCTCTATTTCTTCATGTGTTATTAGGGTTACTATCTATGTCATTTAATTTCTGGTTGAAGGATTCCCTATAAGGACAGGTGTGCAAGCATCAGATTCTCTTAATTTTGTTTTATTTGGGATTTCTCCTTTGTTTATTAAAATAGTTTTGCTGGATATAAAATTCTTTCTTTTTTCAGCACTTAGAATATGCCATCCCATTGTCTTCTGAAGGCATTTACTTTTAAGGAGTTTTGAGGTTTGGATTATTCATGTAATTGAAAAAGAATAGTAATTATATTCAAGTAAATAGAACTATCTTTCTTTTTTAGAGATTTTTGCTGTAGGGTGTGTGCACTTGCCAGAGAGACAGAGAGACAAAAAGCGAGCAATCACCCCCCCAGGGGGGGATGGCCATGCCTTAATCCCTTCTCCTCCATTCTCCTCTTGGGATTTTGGGCACACATGCACACACACACACACGGCATGAGTTTCATGGCTCCAGGTCCAGGACTTGAACTGTGGTTGACCATGTGGGAATCCAGCAACATAACTATTATGCCATCTGCTGGTCCCATTATACATGTGTATTTTTAAAATGAATTATTTGGATATGGCTTGGTTTTTAAAATTCCAGCATTTAATATGCTTGAAATGATATCTTTTTCATTTATTCCAACTCATGGTGAAAAAATTTAGACACCATATTAAAATTGTATAGGGGGACTATAGTTATTTTGAATTTTTAAAAATTGAATACCAAAAAATTGGAAGAACTTCCATAAGTAACATACCTAGGTAAACATATTTTTTGTATTGAGTTCACTTTAGACAGCACTAAGAAAAGTCATGTTTTTTATAGCTACTTAAGTATAAAGAAAGTAACTTAAAAGTTTTCTTCATTCAAAATATGGATTTTGGGACCAGCAGGTGGCATGATAGGAAAGGCGCTGAACACTCCCACATGGCTGACCATGGTTCATGTCCTGGACTGGGTGGCTTGTTTTCTCACTTTCCCTCTTTCTCTTTCTGGTCAAATTAAAATAAATGGATGAGTAAATAAAATTAAATAATTACTTTTTAAAAAAAGAAAATAATGATTTTGACATCTTTTCTCTGTTGCTAGTTTTTGTTTTGTTTTGCTTTGCTTTGGACCTTAGATGAGCAGGGTAATGACTTTCCACCTTTTCTTATGAGCCTGGATGGATTCTCCTTTAAGCAGGGCACAAGATAGTGGGAATGGCCATAAGATGTTCATTTATTTGTTCAGTCTTTCATTCAACAATACTTACTGAGTGCCTTCCATGCCATTCTTCTAAATGATGAAAATACAATGGTACAGGCCAGCCAATGGTGAGGTGGTTGAGGTGACTGGATCCTGCAAAGCCAACTGTGTAGTTTGAGTCCCAGACCTGGTGGCTTGAAAAACATGTCAGGTACATGTGCGTGTGTGCCTAAAACCCAAGAGGAGAATGGAGAAGAAGGGATTGTGACAGAGCCATCCCCACTGGGGGTGCTTTCTCACTTTCCCTCTCTCAGAGGCTGGCAGGTGGCATGGTGGTTAAGGCACTGGACTCCATATGACTGACCACTGTTCAAGTCCCAGACTTTCTGGGTTTTCTTTCTCTCTCTTTCTCATCAAATTAAATAATAATAAATAAAAGAAAAGAAAACAAAAGCTTCATGAATGTGAACCATGTCCTAACAGACTTGGAGTCAAGTGGGAAAGAGAGTCTCTCTATTTTCCAATATGTAGTTAGTTGATATATGTGGCCATTTAAGTTTAAATTAAAATTAAACAGAATTTAAAAATTAGTACCTTGGGCCAGTCCTGTAGCCTAGTGGTTAAGCGCACTGAATCCCATAAGTCTGACCATGTAATTCAAGTCCTGAATCCGGCAGCTTGAGAAATATGCCAGGTACATGCACATATGTGTCCAAAGTCCCAATAGGATGGAGAATGGTGAAGGGATTGTGGCATGACCATACTCCATTGAGGGGGGTGCTTTCTCTCCCTCCCTTTCTCTGTCTCTCTCTAGTGAGCACATGTGCTCTCTGGCAACAAAATTAAATTTAAAAATTAGTATCTCAGTTCTATTGGCCACATTTAAAATGCTCAGTGGCCATGTGTGACTAGTGTCTCCTGTATTAGATGGCGCAGACGTAGAAAATACTCATCATCAAAGACAGTGCTCTCGGACAGCACTGAGACAGACGAATCAGGAAACCACAGCGTGGTATGATAGAGAAGTACAGCTTACTATGGGATAACAGAAAATCATGAGGTTTTGGAAGTCAGGGAAGACTTTCTAAAGGAAGTGACAGCTATGGTGAATCCTGAAGGGTGAGTAAAAATCATTTAGGGAAAGGGAACCAGAAGCATATTTCAAGAAGAGCTTATACAAAAGCCTGGAGGTGAAAAGACAGTCATAAGTTGGGTCTACTGAGAGTTAGGGAGTGGCAAGGAGATGGAAGAAGATGGCAGGCCACGGAGCCGTGGACATGCAGCAGAGCGGCCCGGCAGCCAATGCTTGATTGAGTCTCCCTCACCGAAAGCTGTGTTTGGTTTGCTCAAAAGTCCATGAAGCCTACGTGATAGATAAGTCGGGCAAGTGTCGAATTGTTTAAAATTAGCTTTTTTCTTCCTAATGGTCATGAAACCGAATAGAATCACTGATTTTGAACTTATTAGTACCAAAAACTTGTTTGTGCTCTAAGATGAAATGCCATTCAGCTTGTATAGTCCTGTTGGAAAATTTGAAACAGTTCTGTGGGAGTAAAAGTATCTGTTTCAGCTCTGTGTGTGTGCATGTTTTTCATTATTTTGCTGGTTTTATTTTAGGGTGATGTGGAAACATTTGAAAATTATTATCGAAAACAAAGAAAGAAACAGGCGAGACTGGTACTGCAACCACAGTCAAGCATGGTGCGTACGCGCAAATCCTCACCCAGTATGTTGTCACTGTTTGTTTCCTCCCCCTTCAGTTACTCCAGAGCTGTGCCAAACTTCATCCAACTACAGATATTTACTGAACACCCACCCTCCCTAGTCACTGGCTCAGCCACTGAGGGACAGCAGTCAACCAAACTGATAAGTCCCTTTTCCTGTGAGTCTATCATCTGTTAGGGAAGACAGACACTGAATTAAAAAGAAATCAACAAGTGAATATATAAAATTTTAGTAAGTGATAGTTTCTGACGATGTGTGTACCTTGATTCATTGTTCCAATGGAAAAAACAACTAAAGATGCTAAATAGACATTGTTTTTTAAAATTTAAATGATTTTTTAGAGGTCCTTTTATTGAGGAGCAGACAGGAAAGTTAGACCAAAAACAAGTGAAAAGGAACTATTCTGTATGTTGGTTGTGGTGGTGGTTGTATGAATAGACGTGCTTATGAGAACTCATGGAAACTGCATGAGGCCCAGCCTTAGTGAAATAGGCAGTTTCCTACTGGACTCTCGTAGAGCTGGAAGCCACATGGCAACCACAGGTTTGGATCCTAGACTGACCTGAAAACAAGCTGGATGGAGGACCCTGTCAGAGGTGCGCCACACTCTCATATGCTTGTGTTCTCACTTATGAAAATAAACTTTCTTTTTAAAAAAATTCGTTGTAAGGCACATGCGCTCGCCAGAGAGAGGTAGACAGACAGAAAGAGAAAATGAGAAGATACTCCACAGGGGGGGATGACCACAGTGCAGTCTTCCATTCTCTTGAGATTTTGGGTACACACACATGCATCTAACATGTTTTTTAAGCCTCTGTGTCTGGAACTCAAACAGCTTAGTCAGCCAAATGAGATCCAGCTGTCTTAACCTCCATGCTACCTGCTGGCCTGAAAATAAACTTTTTAAAAAGACCCATTGGCAGGTGGTGTGATGGTTAGACATCTGGACTCTCACATGACTGACCATAGTTCAAGTCCTGGACTTGGCAGCTTGCTTTCCTTCACTCTTGCTGTCTCTCTCTGGTCAACTTAAAAAATATATATATATATATATACGGGACCAGCAGTTAGCATAATGGCTATGTCGCTGGACTCCCATGTAGTCAACCGCGGTTCGTGTCCTGGACCCAGTGGCTTAAAACTCACGCCGGGTGCGTGTGCGTGTGTGCCCAAGATCCCAAACCTCTCCAAAAAAAATAAATAAATAAAATAAAATAAGTAAATAAAATAAAATAAAATATAAAAAATAACGGTAAAATTAAATTAAAATTTTTTTTAAAAGACCTTCATGCGAAAAAGAGTTTTATTGTATGTGGCTTATACCTCGTATAAAACAAATGAAGCGGGAAGACTCAAGTGAAGAAAGGCTCAATCAAACATATAGCTTTTGCACTAGGAGCATCTTCTGAAGGGGAGTGCGTTTCTGAGGACTTGGATACAGAAGGCTCTGCCCAGTGCCCATCCAGAGTAGACATCTAATAAGAGATGATCTCTCTTGCAACACTGAGATGCTGAAGGATTTGAGGCCCCATTATTAGGATAACTAGGGATAAAACCATTTGAAAAAAACCATTCTGTCCCCTCTGGCAAATATTGTAAGGAAAATTGCCCATCTTAAATCTTGGTGCTGAGTGAGCAGAGAAAAGAAAATCTCTTAGAATTTACAGCAAGCAGTTTGTCATGTGTGTGCAACCCAAATTCATTCACCTTGAAGATAAAAAACATCTTAAGTTGAAAATTTAGTTTAAAGGGGTTTCATGCTGATACTGCTTCCGAGTGTCTGGCAGAAGCAAGTTAAGTCTCTGTACCTTCATCCCAGAGTTAACAAATGTCCTAAAGTTTCAAGGAAAAAAATGGCAATTTACGGGAAAAATAATTACTAAAAACCAGAATCAATAGAAATACCGACAACAGGGCTGGCAGGTGGCATGGTGGTTAAGGGCGCTGGATTCCCACACGGCCAACCACACAGTTTAAGTCCCAGCCCTGGCGCTTGCTTTCTCGCTTTTCCTCTTTCTCTCTCTGTTCTTCTCTGGTCAAATTAAAATAAATAAATAAATAAGGTTAAATAAAGTAATCCTTTAAAAAGAAATACTGACAATAGAAATAATGATAAAATACTTAATATTTCAACTATTAGCTATAGAGTATAAAATAGCACTATTTAATGTTTAAGAAAATAAAAGGTAAACTTCCTAAAATAAATCGGAACAGAAATGACAAGGAATGACAAATGTGATGAAAACTCAAGTGGAATATCTAGAAATTGAAAATACATTAACTGGTGTTAAAAATGTTATGAATAGGTTTGACATTTGATGGATTCTCTTTTCATTGATCTGAAGAGATTATCTGTGAGTTAATAAGCATTACAGAAAGACAAAAAGAAAAGCACAGGAGAGAGACATAGAAGATTCAGATAATGTGTATCTAATTGGAGTTTTAGAAAAGATAGAACAAATGGGACAGAAATATTTTATGGCATATGGCTAAAAATTTTCTGTGAAGATGAGAAGCAGAAAACTATAGAGTGAAGCCTGTGGGATCCTAAGTAGGTTAAATAAAAAGAAATATATTCTTAGGTATCTAAAAATGAAATTGCAGAATATCAAAGTTAAAGTATCAATAGACAACCTGAAAAACATGATCAGTTTTCTTGATCTTACTGACATTTATTGATACCCCATCCAAAGCAGCAGTGTACATGTGTTTCAAGTGCACATGGAAGATTTCAACGTAGTTCATATTTGTAAAATAAATATCAATATACATGAACATCTTGAAAACATACACCGTCTGTCCCGTGACCACAGAGCATTAAATGGGCCGTGTACAAAAAAATGAATATTGACCTTTACCTTGCTCAGCAATTCAAGAAATCAATCATGATCCTAAATGTAGGATCAAAATTGTAAAAATTTTAGGAATAAAAGCAAAGGATAAGATCTTTTTAACTTTGAGTTAGGCAGTATTTTCTTAAGTGAGATACAAAAAACATAAACCATAAAAGAAAAGCATTGATGAATTGAAATTGAAATGTTAAACTCTTCAAAAAGCATTGTCAGAAAACACTGAAGAGACGAGACACAGACTTGGAGAAAATATTTGCATAACTAATTTGACTAGGGCTTACAGCAAAAATATTTAAAGAACTTATATAATTAAAAAAAGTATAGACAAACTGATTTTAAAAATGGATAAAAGCTTTAAATAGACATTTCACTAAAGATATATAGTCATTAAGTAAACACATAAAGGGCCCAACCAGTGGTGTGGTGGTCAAGGTGCTGGACTCTCACATGGCGCACTGCAATTCAAGTCCTGGACCCAGCAGCTTGAAAATCATGCCGGGCATGTGTACATGCATGCCCAAAATTCTGATAAGATCTTTTTAACTTTGAGTTAGGCAGTATTTTCTTAAGTGAGATACAAAAAACATAAACCATAAAAGAAAAGCATTGATGAATTGAAATTGAAATGTTAAACTCTTCAAAAAGCATTGTCAGAAAACACTGAAGAGACGAGACACAGACTTGGAGAAAATATTTGCATAACTAATTTGACTAGGGCTTACAGCAAAAATATTTAAAGAACTTATATAATTAAAAAAAGTATAGACAAACTGATTTTAAAAATGGATAAAAGCTTTAAATAGACATTTCACTAAAGATATATAGTCATTAAGTAAACACATAAAGGGCCCAACCAGTGGTGTGGTGGTCAAGGTGCTGGACTCTCACATGGCGCACTGCAATTCAAGTCCTGGACCCAGCAGCTTGAAAATCATGCCGGGCATGTGTACATGCATGCCCAAAATTCTGAGAGGAGAATGGAGGAGAAGAGATTATGTCATGGCCATCCCTGCTTGGGGGTGATAGCTCACTTTCCCTCTCTATCTCTTTTTGGTGAGCACATACACCTTATGGCGAAAACCTAAAAAAAAAGAAAAAAAAAGTACCCAGAGAGAAAAGTGATTATTTTCAAATAAACAAGACAATGAAGTATATTCAATGCTGAGAGAAAATAAGAGTCAACCTAAGATTCTAATGTCCAGTGAAATAAGGGCAAATATAGATTTTTTCAGACAAAGAACAGTTTTCCACCAAGGTACCTCAAAGGTACTCGGAAGGCTATGTTCCTCAAGCAGAAAGAAAGTGATGCTAAGTGACAGATACGAGTTACAAGAAGAATTAAATAGCAAAGAACGCTTAAATATCCAGGTAAATCTATATTGACGTAGGAAATGATATCAAAATATTTATGGACTGTTTATTTTTTTGAAGAGATTTTTGCTATAGGGCGTGCACGCTCACCAGAAAGAGAGAGAGAGCGAGAAATCACCCCCCAGGGGGGATGACCACGCCGCAGTCCCTTCTCCTCCTTTCTCTTCTCTGGATCTTGGGCACACACGAACACGTGCCCAGCGTGAGTTTAAGCCACCAGGTCTGGGACTCAAACCACAGTTGACTACATGGGAGTCCAGCCACATAGCTATTACGCTAACTGCTGGTCCCATATTTATGGACTTTAAAGCAATATGGAGTTAAAATACATAACAGTAACAAACATTATAGTGAGATGGAAATTAGTGAAATCAAATTATCCTACAATGTCTGAATTGTCCAGAAAAGTAAAACCATTGATTAAAATTTTAGAGTTTGATTATTTAGAGATGCATACATAATGTGATTTCTAGAGTAACTACTGGAAGAACGAGAGAAAGCAAGCCACCAGATCCAGAACTCAAACTGTAGCCAGCCATGTGGGAATCCAGTGCACCTTAACCACCATGCCACCTGCTGGCCACGATCATAATATTTTTTTTTTTTTAAGAGAGATTTTTGGTATAGGGCGCATGCGCTCACCAGAGACAGAAAGTGAAAAATCACCCTGGAGGGATGGCCATGCTGCAATCCCTTCTCCTCCATTCTTCTCTTGGGATTTTGGGCATGCATTCACATGTACCTAACATGTTTCGAGCCTTCAGATCCAGGATTTGAACTGTGGTTGGCTATGTGGGAGTGCAGCAATGTAACCATTACACCATCTGCTAGTCTCCTGATCATAATTTTTGTTTTGGAGAGATTTTTGCTAGAGGGTGCATGCATTCGCCTGAGAGACAGAGACAGAGTAGAAAGTGAGAAATCACTCCCTGGGGGATGGCCACACTGTAGTCCCTTCCCTTCCATGCTTCTCTCAGGATTTTGGGCATGCATGCGCACGTGCCCAGTGTAAGTTTTAAGCTGCTGGGTCTGGGACTTGAACCACAGTTGACTACATGGCAGTCCAGCGACATAACCATCACACCACCTACTGGTCCCTCGATTGTAATATTTTTTTATAAATAATTTTTTAAAGAATTATTTATTTTTAATTTTATTTATTCATTCATTTATTTTAATTTGATGAGAGAGAGACACACACACACACACAGAGAAGGAAAGTGAGAAAGCAAATCACCAGGTCTGGGACTCAACCATGACTGGCCATGTGGGAGTGTCCAGCACTTTACCAAACATGCCACCTGCTGGTCCCTCCTCATCGTAATAGTTTTAAGTTATGAAGTATTAACAATCCTTTCCCCCAAAAAACTTGCATAAAACCCTAAATGTTTGAAAATTTGATCTCAGTTTTAAATTATGCAAGATATAACATTTGTGTGAATTGAAATAATGAGTATTTCAGTTAATATATCTGTAATGAATGAAAATCAAATGATCATATTATCCTGTGTGCCTGTGGTTAAAATGATAAATACAGACAATTGTAGGCCATTTTTAAGCAGTTTAATTTTTTTTGCTTTAGAGAGATTTGTGCTTGCTGGAGAGATAAGAGAGACAAAGAGAAAGAGAGAGAGAAATCACCTCCCAGGGGTAATTTCCCTTCTCCTTTGCACTCCCTTCTCATCTCAGGATTTTGGGCATGCACCCTCATGTACCTGGCCTGGGACTAGAACTGTTGTTGACTATGTGGGAGTCTCACAACATAACCATTGTGCCTTCCATCTGCTGGTCCCAAGCACTTTAATTTAAAAAAAAAAAAAATCTTTCTTTCATTAGGGAGAAAAAGAGGGAGAGAAAGAACGAAAAGCAACCTCAGTTCTCTCCTAAGCCCTCCCAGACAGGCTGATTATGGACACGTGTGTGTGCCTGGCCTACTTAGCTCCACCTGGCAGCCAAACCAGGCTCTTCCGGGTGGCCTCTGGAATTGCAGTTCATGCTACCACTGAGCCACCACCAGCACAGCTCAGCCAGTAGTTAGACTATTGCTCTGAATCAGATGAAAAGTCATTGAAAGACTTTTTCTGTTTGTTTGTTTGTTTTTTTTAGAGAAGTTTTTGCTATAGGGCGTGCATTCACCAGAAAGACAGAGAAACAGACAGAAAGCGAGAAATCACCCCCCAGGGGGATGGCTATGCTACAGTCTCTTTTCCTCTATTCTCCTCTTAGGATCTTGGGCACACATGCACATGGCGTCCAGTGTGAGTTTAAGCCACCGGGTCTGGGACTCGAACCAGGGTCTACGACAAAGGAGTCCAGCGACATGGCCATTACACCAACTGCTTGTCCCATTGAAAGACTTTTTGTCAGAAAATATAATGATATGTTTATTCAGTATTATTCTGACAGCTATGTGGAGAATGACTGGGAGGCGAGTTAAGAGGAATGACCGAGTAGTCAAAGTGAGAGATGATGGTGGTTTGAACCAATCTGCCAAGAAGGGAGTTCTGAAATCCTACTGACTTTTTAACTTGTTTATTGCATATCTCCCTTTGTATGTTCCATAGGGTGTTTTATTTACAAATGAACTCCTAGAAATGTATGCAACATATAGTAGGTTCCCAATAAATATTTGTTAATGAAGATGTAGTGATTTAGAATTTATTTGTTAATGATATGTATTGGTTTAAATTGTTTTTTATTTTTCATTTTAAGCATGAAACAGTTGATGGCTATAGAAGATATTTCACTCAAATTGTAGGGTATGTATCTAATATGGAAATCACTATTACTCATTTTATAGTGTGTTAAATACCCCGAAATAATATATGCACTTTTTATTTATTTATTTTAAAACATGCTATTTTGGTCATTGCTTTTTAGGTTCTTTGTGGTGGAAGATCATATTTTACATGTGACCCAAGGATTAGTAACCAGGGCATACACTGATGAACTTTGGAACATGGCCCTCTCGAAGATAATTGCTGTCCTGAGAGCCCATTCAGTAAGTCAGACAATTTACAAACTTTAGTTCAGTCGCTTTAAACATTTCTGCTCTGCATAGTGTCAGAGGAATACTGTATCCCTCATTCTGCATTTTTTGGTAATTGCTCAGAATTAAAAGTAGTAATGTCAGGCTTTTGTTTGTCTGGTAATATCAGGCTGTGATTTTGCAACTGACTAGGGTTTCCCAAGACACTTTTATTCCGCATTATAGGAAATGAAGAATTAAGCTGGTCTCATTAGTCTCGATTGACCTCTTTATCAGATCACTGAAAAGCACTGTGGAGAAAGGGTTTTTAATTATCAGTCCAAATTCTTTGTTTTCAAAATAAACTTCACCATTATAGAACTCAATAGAACTTGTTCTTCGATGTTTGTGATTTATAATAATATGGTACAACTATGAATTTCTTAAATATTTGCAATTTTCAGAATTTGTACTCATTTGAGATTATACAATTTTATGTAATAATAGTTTTTTATGGATGAAAAATTAAACGATCAAATATTTTCTTAATTCGTTCATAAAAATAATAAATATGTTAGTGTTATAAAGAACTATTGAAATTAATTATTGGCCACTATAGACTTTTTTCTTAAGATAGTTTTAGTAGTTTGCCATCATGAAATACCCCCATACTTAAAATTTTGTGACCTATTTATATTAACTTTATAATTGAAAATAGGTACTGGGAACCAGCAGTTAGCATAATGGCTATGTTGCTGCACTCCCACGTAGTCGGCCGCAGTTCGTGTCCTGGACCCGGTGGCTTAGAACTCACGCCGGGCACGTGTGCATGCATGCCCAAGATCCCAAGAGGAGAATGGAGGAGAAGGGATTGCAGCGTGACCATCCCCCCTGGGGGGTGATTTCTCGCTTTCTGTCTCTATATCTCTCTCCGTCTGTCTGGTGAGCGCACGTGCCCTATAGCGAAAATCTCTCCAAAAAAAAGAACTCATCTAAATATAAATCATGAGAAAATGTACCGTCATTTATTACTATGTTAAAGTTGTAGTTCATTGAATAAATTATATCAAGAATCTACATTCCTGATAGAGTATATTTATAATCTACATACCACATAAACTAGCAATTCCCCTTCAACCTATTTTAAGTACCTATTTTAAGTACCAAAAAAAAAAAGAAATTAGTAATTTTATTGTGGTTAATTACTAAGAAAATACTCAAATAGTCATTCTTATATTGGAAAAATAATGTGTTGTATCTCATTTATGAGATGCAGAATAAAACATTTAAAAAGTGAAAATACGTGGTGTGTATATAAACTCCTTTTCAGTTTAAAATAACCTGTTAATGAGCATCTAAAGACTTTTACAAATATAAGCGTCATTTCTCTGACCAAAATTAAGTGTGTGCAGATTTCAGAAATGTGTTTTCATGTTATCCAATTATTGTCAGCATGTCATATATGATCTCTGCCTAAGAATAGATCTTTACCCCGAACAGAGGAAGCCAGCCATGGACCTAGCTAACCCAGATTTTAAGTTTATTTTAAGCCTGGCATATTAGAAGAGTTTTTAGGTTCTCATTTCTTAGTTTTTTACTGAATGCTTCTGTTTGTTGTTCCGTTTGTTTGTATTTCCCCCCCTCACCCGTCCCCTCACTCTTTAGTCTTACTGCACCGATCCTGATCTCGTTCTGGAGCTGAAGAACCTCATTGTAATATTCGCAGATACTTTGCAGGTGGGTGGTAACCTAACATTCAGTAATGTTAATTAATGTCTATTTTGAACACTTAAAGACCTGCAAAATAAAAACTGCACTCATTAATTTTATTATGGATCAATGGTAATAAATAGTAGTAATAAATGTTTACTTACTTCCTGGTATTCTTCTAGCACCCCAGACTGTCCAAACCACCTCCTTGCCTATTACAGAGCTTCAGCAGAAAGCAGGGAATACTTGTGTCTTTTAAAATATTGACCATTTGGTTCCATTCAGTTAGAATAAAGTATTTCTGCAGTTAAAAAAAACAAAAGCATTATAAACAAGCATAGATAGTGGTATAGTGGGGCAGGACCCAGAACTAGAAGTCAGAGGGTACGAGTCCTGCCTGAGAGCAGTGGACCCGGAGGAGTCCTGGAATCACACGGACGTGCCTTTCTGTGCTGTCTGTGCAGTTAGCGAACAATACACCTGTATGTTCTCTGAGCCTTAGACCTTCATTTGTGAAAACAGGGCTATACGTCACCAGTTTTCAGAATTGTCTGGGTTTTAAATGTGGCACTATATGTGAAAGCGTGTATCAGCAGTTTACAAGCTGTATATGCTCTTTTCTTACTAATTTCAAGTTTGCCATGTGTCCTAGGGCTGAGCAAATCACCTTACATTGCATCTGGTTTGTTTGTTTTTCTCTTTAAAAATAAGATTAAAACTAGAATAAAACATTAGGTTTTAAAATAAATGTGATTTTTAATTTTCTAAGTTTTAAGACTTCCAGCTTGTCTATCCTTGATCAAAGATAATAAACAATTGATTGCATTTTGTTTTGTTCTCATACTTAAAATTGTGGGGTTTTATGGTTAGAAGTATACATTTCATGATATAAGGCTAGCTTTTTCCAAAATGTGATGAGATGTCACCTTAAAAAGAGTTCAGTGGGGATAAAAGGGGAGGAGAGTTCTGTGGTCAGACATGTTTGGGAAATACTAACTGAAATGAAGCTGACTCCTCCACTAGAAGGCTTTCTCAGAACAAACTTGTAGGGTAAGTTTCCCAAGGGGGTGTGACTACGCAGCACTGTCCTTTTACATTCTAGCCTGCAAATCTTTTTCCCTGCTTGGAACTTCTCCTAGAGCTCTAAAACTTCATGTAATATGGTTTGGAAAATGCTGATTTAAAGTATTTTCTTTATAGTAAGAGTCTTGGCATCCTAGAATAATAGTTGTCTACTTTCTTCTTATTATTATTTATTTTTTTTGAGAGGTTTTTGCTATAGGGCACGTGCGCTCGCCAGACAGAGAGAGACAGAGAGACAGAAAGTGAGAAATCACCCCCCAGGGGGGATGGCCACACCGCAATCCCTTCTCCTCTGTTCTCCTCTTGGGATCTTGGGCATGCACACACACGCGCCCGGCGTGAGTTTAAGCCACTGGATCTGGGCCACGAACCATGATTGACTACGTGGGAGTCCAGCAACATAGCTATTACTCTTAACTGCTGGTCCCTTCTTCTTTTTTTAAAGAATTATTTATTTTATTTTATTTAATAGTATTATTTTTTAATTTGCTATAGGGCATGTGCACTCATCAGAGAGAAAAAGAGAGAGAAAGAGATGGAAAGTGAGAAAGCAAGCCTCCAGATCTGGGACTTGAACCATAGTCAGCCATGTGGGACTCCAGTGCCTCAGGTACCATGCCACCTGCTGGCCCCTGCCTACTTTATTCTTGAACCTAAGTAGAAAATTCCATGAGTTCTTTTAGTAAATTATTTTTTCCCCTATATTCTTACTAATTTGTATGTCTTTATTGTAACACCAAAATACTCTGGGGTTTTTTGGTGGTTTTCATGCATTTTATGATTATCTGTATATTGATCTCTCCAGAAGAGAACTGGTAAGTTTTATTTGGGGCCGCCCTAATTTGGGGGCCTATTTCTATGTAATTTAAGGGAATTTTGCTCTCCTAGTGACTTAAGTCATTGCTACTCAAAGTGCAGTTGAAGAGTACTGCTCTGCGAACTGTTAGCTGTCTGCAGATCTTTAGGTCTGTAGGAAAAGGGGGCTTTCATCAGAATGCAGATTAGCTGTCTCACTAGGGAGAAGGTTTAGCTCAGTTGGCATCTCACTGCAAGCAAGACTTTCTCCGTGCAGCATTGATTTATATTTATGTGTTGATTTATATTCTGGTGTAAGCTCCTTATCACTTTGTAGACCATAACATGATTTTAGGACTGGCACTTCTGAGTACAATTGAAGTATTTAATGTGATTCTAGGAAATCTTCAGAGAAATGAAAAAATAAAATAAAGGCAGTTTAGCTATTAGAGGCATTGGGGTATCTACAGTGATGGTTGCATAAACCTCTGCAAGGG